AGCAGAGGACGTGGAAAAAACAAAGTAACAAAAGAATACTCACTAGAACAGGGCTAGGAGAACCAAACTCAAAATCACTCGGAAGCGAGGCAAAAACGGGGCTCAAGGACGGGGACTGAAAACAGGGCTAGGAAGCTAGGACTCAGGGACAATGACTGGAGATTGCTATGGAACGTGGGCACAGGAGACAAACGTAATTCTCTGGCACAGGACAAGGGGAGACGAAGACTATTTAAACACATGAAGGAAGGGGCACCAGGTGAACACAATAGGTAATCAGGGAGACGATCGGACTGGTGACACAACAGGAAGTGCAAGTGACCTGAAACGAGATGAGGGTTAGTCTTCAAAATAAAACAGGAAATGACGAGACAACAAAAAGACGAGACGAAAAAACCTCAACCAGGGCACCACCGTGACACTCATCCCTCTAAAGACCTCTTACATTCACTTCCTATACGTTCATATTAACTCCCGTTTGTGATACTGTTTTAAAAAGTCTTCTAATTACAGTTGCCTGCTATGACTCATTCAACCTTTAGTTTCGTAGCTTGGACAAAGACCAAAACATTGATTTGGAAGCAACCTGTGTTAAAATCTTCCTGTTTTTAATAGAATTTTTTGAAAATCAAATCGAAATTAAAGTCATTGCATCCATCCATCCATTTCCCACCGCTTTTTTTCTGGCTTGTTCTAGTTTTTGTTGCATTGAATATTGCTTGTATCTACAACATTAAAAAAGAAATAAAAAGCAATTCCACATAGACCTGTCCATCTCTTCGCTGTGACACAGAACACTTTTCATCTCACCCGGCATAAAAAAAACAGGTAAACAACAGGTTCAAAATCCCTCTTACAGTTTTCTGTCAAATACCAAAGATGGCCGACCTGAAAAGCTTCATTTTCATAACCTGGTACCGATAAAATCCTTTGGACTCAAAACTGTTGCTTCATCAAGCTCTGAAGCTGCATTACCTTTTGATTTGATGTCCAATGATATCCTTCAAGCTGGGCTTTTCACAAAAGTAAACCCTTTGAAGCTGCATTACACCACATTTTCTAAAACCAATTAATCAAATAATAACACAAAACTGAACTTAATGAACAAGAGCTTCTGCCACACACATCATCACCTCAATTTAGTGTCTTTCAGCTCACATTACTGGTACGTTTGCATTCTAAACTCATTAATTCATTCCAAAATATTTGCAGCCTTATAATAATGCAAATTACATCGGCCTAGAACGTCCATTTTTCATCACGAAACGTGAACACACGGGCAAGAATGGAATGAAGCATGTTTTTACCCAACTCTGACTACTGAACTCTGACCTTTGTCACATTTTGATATGAAAAAAAGCAGGCACAAAAAACAGCACCCCCTACAGCCCTGCCTCAGGCAATGACTTGTTGGAAAAAAAAAACATGCCATTATCATGATGCTATTTGAGACGAGGTATCACTCGGCAGGACATAAAATGCCTTGTTCAAATTGCATCTCTTCATCTTGCCAACCCCATGATTTTCCAATTTAGCTGTAAGCGCTTCGAGTCATATGATGGAGGAAAATAAGGTTTGTGACCATGAGACAGTGTGGCCACAGCGATGTTCCAACCAACTCTTTCAAGCTCAGACATGACCTTGGTAACTCTCTGGGTAACTTTTCACAACCGAGCTTTGATGTTTATGAGGGTAGAAATGTGGGTATCCGTTAAGAGCACGACAGTAAGAGAAAATGGGCAATTTTTAATGAAAAAACAGCTTTAGAAGTCAGCTTAGAAAACTATTCACAGAGCATTTCAGCGATGGGACTGACAGATAGATAGATAGATAGATA